TGTGTTTTTGTTTTGTTTGTTTGTTTGTACACAAACAGTTGTGTTTTTGTTTTGTTTGTTTGTTTGTACACAAACAGTTGTGTTTTTGTTTTGTTTGTTTGTTTGTACACAAACAGTTGTGTTTTTGTTTTGTTTGTTTGTTTGTACACAAACTGTTGTGTTTTTGTTTTGTTTGTTTGTTTGTACACAAACAGTTGTGTTTTTGTTTGTTTGTACACACACAGTTGTGTTTTTGTTTTGTTTGTTTGTTTGTACACAGACAGTTGTGTTTTTGTTTGTTTGTTTGCACACAAACAGTTGTGTTTTTGTTTGTTTGTACACAAACTGTTGTGTTTTTGTTTGTTTGTACACAAACAGTTGTGTTTTTGTTTGTTTGTCTGTACACAAACAGTTGTGTTTTTGTTTTGCAGACAGCTTCAGAAGATTGTTCAGGACATCAAGAAAAACAACGGCAGCTTATTGGAACGATTCAGGAGGTGAGGTTCTGAGCTCTTCTGTCCGGTTCTACCTGCTGGGACCAAACGGTAAAAAACAAAAGAACGGAAACATTTTCTTTGTTGTTTTTAGGAAACGGTTCTTTGAAAAGTTTTCTAAAGTAAAACGTCTCTGTGCGGTTTAAGAACACAGATTCCTCTTTCACAACCGCTGGAAAAACAGAGAAAGAACCGGGACAGAAATAACTCCAGCAGATGGCCGCTCTCTCACTTTCCTTTCCTGAAATGAGTCTGAAAACACAAAGAGAAACCTGAACACTGTTCTGTCTGGGACATTAAACATCAAACGTTTAAATGTGTTCTTCTTTACAGCCGACTGAAACCTGAAGCCTGTCCAACAGTACCGGTCAGAGACTACAGAGGTAAGACTGGACAACTGAGTCCACCATCACTTGGAAAGGTTTTACTATCATATCAGTGAAAAAATACAAAATGTGGGGCAAGAGTTACTATAACGCAATAATTGTTCCACATTTGATTTATTGTGTTGAAGTTTGGGGGAAAGCATGTAAAACAATTACTATATCGCCAGAAAACATTACAGTCACCCATCAAATATATTATTTTATCAGTTGAAATTGTTGATTGTAAGATTTGTTGATAATGTATAAGGCTCATAAAAACCCATTACCCTTGAACATTCGATCTAATTTCATTAAGAGGGAAATTATTTATAATCTTAAAAGATTTGAAACGTTTGTAAAAACTAAAATTCAAACTAACTTGAAGGAGAGATGTACCTCAGTTCAAGGATAAAGTTGTGGAACAATTTGGCTAGTGATTATAAAAATGCTGGTTCCATTAAGTTATTTGGAAAAATGGTAAAATTTGATTGGTTGAAGAAATATGAAAATATTTACCTTTTTAAAAAGGGGGACCACTCTGCGATGCCCCTTTTTAAAAAGAGGGACCGCAGAGTGTGTTCCAACTATAGGGGGTCACACTTCTGAGCCTCCCTGTTAAGGTCTATTCAGGGGTCCTGGAGAGGAGGGTCCATCAGATAGTCAAATCTCAGATTCAGGAAGAGCATTGGGGTTTTGGTCCTGGTCCTGGAACACTGGACCAGCTCTACACCCTCAGCAGGGTCCTGGAGGGTTCATGGGAGTCCAACCAGTCTACATGTGTTTTGTGGACTTGGAGAAGGCGTTCGACCGTGTCCCTCGAGGACTCCTGTGGGGGGTACTCTGGGAGTATGGGGTACCAGGCCCATTGATACGGGCTTTTAGGTCCCTGTAGGACTGGTGCCAGAGCTTGGTCCACATTGCTGGTAGTAAGTCCGACTCATTTCTGGTGAGAGTTGGACTCCACCAAGGTTGTCCTTTGTCACCGA